GCGGATTGCTCAAGGTCAGGAGTTTGAAACCAGCCTGAGCGAGACCCCGTCTCTACCAAAAATAGAAATAAATTAATTGACCAACTAAAAATATATATACAGAAAATTAGCCGGGCATGGTGGTGCATGCCTGTAGTCCCAGCTACTCGGGAGGCTGAGGCAGTAGGATCGCTGAGCCCTGGAGATTGAGGTTGCTGTGAGCCAGGCTGACGCCACGACACTCACTCTAGCCTGGGTAACAAAGTGAGACTCTGTCTCAAAAAATAAAAAATAAAAAATAAAAAAAAAAAATAAAACCACAATGTGGGCCAGGTGCAGTGGCTCACGCCTGTAATCCTAGCACTCTGGGAGGCCGAGGCAGGCGGATTGCTCAAGGTCAGGAGTTTAAGACCAGCCTGAGCAAGAGTGAGACCCCGTCTCTACTATAAATAGAAAGAAATTAATTGGCCAACTAATATATATAGGAAAAACTAGGCGGACATGGTGGTGCATGCCTGTAGTCCCAGCTACTTGGGAGGCTGAGGCAGCAGAATTGCCTGAGCCCAGGAGTTTGAGGTTGCTGTGAGCTTTTGGAGGAGGGAGCTTGAGGTTTAAGGGAAGTCCCTCAAACCCTCAAGTGCGGCCCCTGCACTCTAGCCTGGGCAACAAAGCAAGACTCTGTCTCAAAAAAAAAAAAAACAAAAAAAAAAAACCACAACGCGCTACCACCTCACACCTGTTTGAATGGCTGGAAAATGAATAGAAAAAGAAATACATGTTGGCAAGGATGTGGAGCCTTTGTGCACTGTTGGTGCAAATGTAAAATGGTGCAGTCACTGTGTGATACAGTATGGAAGTTCCTAAAAAAATAAAAATAGAACTACCATATGATCCAGCCATTCCACTTCTGGGTATATGCCCAGAAGAACTGAAGGCAAAGTCTCAAAGAGATATTTGTACACCCATGCTCATAGCACCATTATTTACAACAGTCAAAGGTAGAAGCAACCCAAGTGTCCACAGATGAATGGGTAAGTAAAATAGGGTATATAGAAATAATGGAATATTATTCAGCCTTAAAAAGGAAGGAAATCCTGTCACATGGATAAACATTGAGGACATCATGCTAAGTGAGACAAGCCAATCACATAAGGGCCAATGCTGTATGATTCTTCTTCTGTGAGGCACCTAGAGTACTCAGATTTGTAGAAACAGAAAAGTTGTTAAGTATGAAATGTCCGATTTCCTTAAGCACTTAGCTTGACAGTTGAAATCTCTGACATTTCACTTTGACACCTCCTATTTTTATTGTGACGCTACATTCTCAGTCTTTCAAGGGCATATTTTGGCTTGTGATTATCTTTCAAATTTTTATATAGCAATTTTTGGGAAACCATGGATAGATAAGCCAAAAATTCATGTTATTTTCAAATATGAGTTCTGTCGTGGCACCAATGCAGCACACGCAGACAGCTCAAAATATCAACGAAGTGTTTGGGAGGGATGTGGCTAATGAACGCACAGTACTTCGATGGTTTGAGACGTTCTGCTCTGGTGATTTTAATCTTGAACATGAGCCATGTGGGCGACTTGAGACCAAGGTGGATAATGATGAGCTGAGAGCTGTAGTGGAAGCGAATCCATCTCAACCTACGTGCGAATTATTATTAGTAGCAAGGTTTGACGTTGTTATTCCAGCAGTACCGGACCATTTGAAACACATCAGCAAGATGAAGAAGCTGCATAGATGGGTTCTGCATGAATTAAACAAGTCAAATTGTCAGAAGAGAAATTGTCTCAAAGCTTTCCTTTTGTTGCTACCATGACATAAAGGGGAACCATTTCCACACCATATTATTTATTACATGTGATGGAAACTGGATTCTTTTTGACAATCACAGGTGTTTGGCACAATGGTTGGACAAAGATGAAGTGCCAAAACACAGTCCAAAACCAACTATTCATCAAAAAAAGCTAGTGGTGTCTGTTTGATGGTCCAGCGCTGGTATTATCCACTACAGCTTCGTGAGAACTGGTCAGTCTATTGTAGCAGATTGTCTACTGCAACCAATTGGATGAAATGATGAGTGTGCTTGTGATTAAGCAGCCCGGATTGGTCAATAGAGACAGGCCAATCAATCCTCTGGCAAGACAACACTCGGCCACCTGTTACACAAACAACGCTGCTCAAACTACAGAGGCTTGACTCGGAAACTCTCTGCCATCCACCGTATTCACCAGACCTTGCGCCTACTGACTACCACCTCTTCCAGGCTCGGACCTCTTCTTGCAAGAAAAAAATATTCAGTTCTCAACAAGCCGTGGAAAATGCCTTTCACGATTTCATCACCACTGGAGCTCCAGGCTTCTTTGGTGCTGGCACAAACAAGATGGCAAAACTGTGGCTGTAGTTTAGGTGCATACTTTGATTAATTGTACTGCTGCTTGTTTGAGATATAACAAAGTACACTTTTGATTTGAAATCAGACATTTCATATTTAATGACCTACAGAATGGTGATTTTAGGAGCTGGGGAAAAGGGGAAATAGGGAGTTATTTAATGGGTACAGTGTGTCAGTTTTGTTCAATGAAAAAGTTCTGAGACAGGTGTGGTGGCTAGTGCCTGTCTGTAATCCCAGTACTTTTGGGAGGCCGAGGGAGGAGGATGGCTTGAGGCCAAGAATTTAAGACCAGCCTGGGCAACATACCGAGATCTCATCTCTACAAAAAACTTAAACAAAACAGGCCGGCTGCAGGCTGGAGGATTGCTGGAGCTCAGGAGTTCATAGACCAGCCTGAGCAAGAGAGAGACCCTGTCTCTACTAAAAACAGAACATTAGATGGGCATTGTGGTACATACCTGTAGTCCCAGCTACTTGGGAGGCTGAAGCAGGAGGCTCACTTGAGCCCAGGAGTTTGAGGTTGTAGTGAGCTACAATGACACCACTGTACTCTATCCAGGGGGACAGAGTAAGACTCTGTCTCAAAAAAAAAGAAAAAAATGTTCTGGGGATCTGTTTTATAACAACCTACATGCACTTAGCACTACTGAACTGTACACTTAAAAATGGTTAAGATGGTAAATTTAATTTTGCGATTTCTTTAACATGATTTAAGAAATGAAAAAGAAGGGGCCGAAAGGCCATTAGGGCTATCTCCCCAACTCATGGATGAGAACACTGAGGCCCAGAGAGGCGTGCCTTTGCCCAGGTACACAGCCCTGGCGGGACTCCAATTGGGACGGGCTTGGCAGACGGTGTGATCAGAGGAGCAATGCACAAGGCCCAGGCCCTCTACCCTCAGAGGCTGGGGTCAGTGCTGGCTTTTAAGAGGTGGCCAAAGAGGGCTAAAGTGACTCCCATGCGCCAGGGAGCACTGAGAGAGGCCCAAGTGGGTTTTCTAGAAAATTCATTTAAGAGGAACAACCCCTGTGTGGCTGATGTCAGCTAACCCTCCCCAGGCAGCTCTGAAACCCAAAGCCCTGAGCTCCTCAGGGGAGGGCCACCCCTCCCGATCTGGGGTAGAGTGTGGGAAACAAACCTGGATTCAAATTCTAGCTCTGCCACTGCCTGAGCCTGTCTCTACATCTCTCAGAACAGGTAAGGGCCTAATTCAGGGCCAGGCACATTGTAGGTGTTTAGCAAAAGGCATGCAGGATGCTAGCTGATGCCATTAGCTCCAGTGCCAGGCTCATTATTTCTCTCCTGGGGCCACCATTTCCTCTTTGTGACCTCTCTGGGCCTCGCCTCATTCAGCTGTAAAATGGGGGTAATAGCAATTTCTAAGGTTGCCGTGAGGATTAAGTGAATTCGTTCATTTAAAGTGTTTAGAACCATGCCGGGCACCTGGCCCGTGCTCAGATACGAGCCAGTGCTCTCGCTGGGAGATACAGAGGCCAGAGCGTGTGCGTGTGTATCCTCTGGGTATCCCAGCTGCTTTCTGTTCACCATGGCCTCACCTGGGGCCTGATGACAGGAAATGCTACGGCAGGGGCAGGCACGGCAGGACTGCCTCTGCTAAGGAGGAGAAGCCTGGTCCTTGTGAGCGAATGAATGTGTGTTTGTGACAGGAGTCCCGACCAGTGAGCATCTAAAGGGGCTGGGGACATGGGGAGGGGACTCAAATCACAGGTGGAGCAGGGAGAGGAAGGGGGAACCAAGGGCAACTGGGGAGGCAGGAGACCCCTAGGGAAAGGCTGGACAGGGCGATAGGACGGAGGGCTCGATGGAGTCATGGCTGGTCCACTGCTGGCCTGACCTACCAGCTGAGGTGGCCCCAAGGCTTCAGGCCAATAGCAAAGTCCCCATGAGGTGTCACCAGCCCCAGTAGACACTGACCCAACCTAGAAGCTGCTGCACTCACCCCACCCCCAGGAAGGACCCCTACTGGCCTGGGCCCACACCCCTACAGGTGTAGAGGGGACCAGGCACAAAATACCTCCCCAGCCCCACTCTGGGTCCTCTGAGGTCCTGGCCAACCCCTGGCCAACTTCTTCTACCCGTGACCCTTTGCTGAGAACCCATCTAAGACCTGGGCTGAGAAACCCAGAGCTTTCCCAGTCCGTGCCTGTGCTGCCGCCAGACATCACCAATCAATCCTGCCGTGGTCCTGCTGAGCACCGGGCAGCTCGATGCTCTGACCCCGAGCTCCGGGCTTCTATTAGAGTGGAGCTGGCCATCTCTGAGGGCGAGGAGACCCAGGGGCACTTTCCAAGGAGCCACGGCAAGGCAGTGGCAGAGCCAGCCTCAGACTGTTCTCCCCAACAGCGGGCCACTGCTCACCAGGAGGGGACGCCCAGCTCCTGCCTCAGTGACCACAGCCCCACGCAACACTAAGAGAGGACTCGAACAGTCCTCCCTACAGCAAAGAACGGCGGTGGCTGTGGTGGGGTGGCTTCGGGATTTGGGTTTAATCCCAAGCACGAGGGCGGGCAAGGAAAGGATTTGGTTTCATTCCTTCAGATGCCCAAGCCTTGGCCGGAGCCCCAGGGCGCAGGAGTGAAGGCTGGTGGCCGCCCAATCTCTACCAACAAAGGCTTCCTTTATTAAATAGAGATCGCGTTACATTCCACTCAGAGAAGGAAATCCTGACGTGGTGAGAGATGTGTCCAGGTCGGAGCCCCTAACCCTGGTCCTGAGGGGGCTGTGGCGGGTGGGGGAGGGCCGGGTCCTGCCCGCCCTGCTCGGCCCCACATGCAAGGCCCGTTGTCTGCGGCCACCCACAGCTGAACACAGGCGCTGGCGTCCTGAGGCCCTGCCTGTGTCTTACCAATCCCTCCAGCGGTTTTGCGAGCTGGGCGCCCGGAGCACAGGGCTGGATGGGGGAGGGAGGGGAGGTGACAGGGGAGGCCATTATGAAGGGGGCCCTGACTCATCTCAGAACGCCCTGGGGCAGTGCCCAGCCACGCACAGGCTGGCTGGGCGAGTGGTGGGGGGCCCTGCCAACCCTCCTGGCCCTGCTGCTGTGGCTCTCAGAGGTCACTAAGGAATGAGGTGTGGGATGGCCACAGGGGGTGCTTGTGGCCCAGGGTTTGGGAACTGGGGTGGAGGATGCCCTGGCTACCTGGCCACCCCAGCACAGTCCCTTTCTGAAAATATGCCAGCAACAAGGCACTCAAGGAACCAGGGAGGGGGTGCTGACTGCCTCAGGTGTCCCTTCCCAAGAGCTAAGCACCTCCACCCCAGTATGGCTCCAAGCTCCTTGGTCTTTGGTGTTTTCTTGAAATCCTCTTGATGGTTGCAGGACCCAGTGGGGACGAGAGAAGGGTCTTCTCATGAAGTCCAGGCCGGTCTGTCGCAGAACAGTGTGTGCTGGCTTAGCTGTCCACTGGTCCATCCGTTTGGCTTCCGGCTCAGGACTGGCTCCAGGACCCTGTCTCCCTCTCTTCCTGCTTGTCCTGGGGCAGGTGTTTGCTCCAGCTCAGAGCCCCCTCCAGGCCAGGCCATGCCCTAAACCTCCTGGGGGAAGAAGCCAAGCTTGGCCAGTGACATCTCCTTCCGCAGCCTGGTGACCTCCCAGAACATCGGCTCCGCTGCAGGCAGAGAGAGACAGTGGACAGCTCAGGGCCAGCTCAGAGCCACCTGAGGCAGATGGCCTGGCCTCGTCCCCCTAGCTTTGGGCAGGGAAGCTGGCATGGCACCCTAGGGCCCAGATTTCCAGGACAGGTGACCTTGGCAAGTGGCTGGACCTTTCCTGAGGCTCCACTCCGAGCCTTGGAAACTGATGAGTGCTGCACACGCTGACACCACCCCCAGGGCCTGATACAGACATGCACGCACACACTGCCACCACTCAACGGTGATGCCCTGGGACCCAGGAACTGCACTGGACACATTACAAATGTTATCCAGCCCCATCTCCCTAGGGTGTCACAGGGACCCTGAGCAGTGAGTGGGGCCAGTGTCAGTCTGGGAGACTGGTCCTCAGGGAGGCTGGCACCTGGGAGGCAGGTCCTCAGGCACCATTCCCTGGCCTGGCAGGTATGAACAGCCAGTGTGCACTGCCCCTGCTGTCCAAGGGGACTTGACCTCCAAGACGGGGAGGAGACAGCTCCTTACTCAGAGTGTCAGGCAAAACTGGTTCAGGAGATTCGCCAGGGCACAGAGTGTGGTGGCAGAGGACAGGGGACCTGCCAGGCAAGGGTTACAGTAGGAGCAAAGGTCTGGAGGTGGCAAGCCTGTGTTCAGGAGGTGACCACACCAGGAGCAGGGGAAGAGTCACAGGAGAGGTCCCATGGTGCAGGGCCTCAAATGCCAGGCTAATAACAGTAATGCAGTCCCTACAGGTCCTGAGCACTGCATTTCTGTTACTGGAATTCCTGCTCTCCGGGCAGGAGAAAGACCAGCAGGGCAGCCCCAGGTACCCGGGAGGCTCTGTCTGCAGCTCGCCCTCTCCACAGGACTCAGAACCCAGGAGGTCTGTGAGCCCTTTACCAACCCACAACCTTCCCCCTCGCTGGCCTCCCGACTGACAAGCCCCAGAGTCCTGCCTGGGCCAGGGCCAGGTCCACCCAGAAGGCCTCGGTCCTCCCAGCCCGCCCCGCGTGCCATCCCGCCACTGGCCACCAGGGGGCGCTCACCGTCCTGCCGCACCAGGCCTTGCTGGATGTAGCGGATGTAGGTGAAGAAGTTGCACACTGCGGTGATCTGTGGGCAGGAGCAGGGAGGGTGTGACCCGCCAGCCCCGACACTCGGGGTCCCCCAACCAGCCAGGGAGGCTCTGAGACCAAAGCAGGAAGCCCCAGGTCCCCGTCGGAGCCAGGTAGTTCTCCCTGACTCAGACCAGGCTGGGCTTTAAAGTTTTCACAGCAGCAGCAAGACTAGTCCTACTCACTCCTGGTAATAATCGCGGCAGCTACCCTCTCATCAAGCACGCGTCGCAAATGAGGCGGACGTGCTGATCGTTGAGAGCCACCAAGGGTGAAGCCACTGGATATCGATTATGCAGCTCGCCCAGCTGAGTGAGGAAACCAGGCCGGCCCAGACCTGCGCACCCCCAGGGGCCTGCTTGCTCTGGCGGAGGTCCGGGCCAGCCGGGTCTCAGTGTGGTGCTGTCTGTAACACCGGGAATGGCGAGGGCATCGGAAGCTGCCCACCTGGGTCCTGGTGCTCGAAGCCCCCAGCCTGGCGGGAGGCCTGCTCCACGCACCCAGGGACCTGCCTTGAGGACTCTCACACGGTGGAGAGGGCGCTGGTGGTGCCCTGCCCCGCCCCTTCCCCCCCAGGCTGGGGCCTCACCTCCCAGCTGCTGGGAGTGTTGGCCACTAGTGGCCACAGGTGCCCCCCCCCCTGCAGACCTCAGCCAATAGGGGAGAAATAAAAAAGCCCAGCCCCCTTGCCTCGGGGTGGTCCCAACTCTGCTCCAGAGCCCGGTGGATCTGGGCGGGGCAGAACCTGGGCTCCGCCCACCCTGCTTCCCAGGCTCTCCTGACAGCTGCGCAACATCTCCATCTTGGGCTCTGCTTAAGGGACCCAGCCTGTGACAGGGTGCAAGGCGCTGGCAGCTGCGCCCACAGTAGCCCCTACTGAATGCTCAGCGCTCTGCGGGAGGGGACACTGAGTGAGTGGGACACCCACGGGCTGGGGAGCGGAGGGAGCTGTAGGGAGAGGCAATGCTCCTGCCAGCTCCTCAAACGTCAGGAGAACCTGCCAGAGGACAAAGGGGGGCTGAGGGGTGGTGCTCAGTGGCCTGGCAAAGACAGGGTGGCGTCAGGAGTGCCATGAGGTCCGGGGACTAACCCAGTGAGGCAGGAACACGGCGCTGCCCCACAAGGGTTGAGGAGCAGACTGCTGCCCGAGGGGACATGTGCCCACTGCAGTTCTGCGCCCCTGCGAGGAGCCCCTCTAGGTCTGAGATGAGTCCTCGTGCCATGTCACTGTGTACGTGTTTCCAAACATGCCCTCTTTTGCTCCTTTTGCTAGGAATCCCTGCCCTTAGTCCCCAGCTCAGCGAGGGCCCCTGCCTGGGTCACACGGCAGGTGAGGGTGGAAGCTGGGATGCCCACAGTAGTGCGCCAGACACACCTCTGAACCTTCTCAAAAGCCTCAGGCCAGAGCTCGAGCTTTAACTTGAACTCTAGCGTCCCTCCCTTGATTAGGTCACATTAAATGACAGCGCTGACAGGTGTCACTCCCATGATTACATGTCATTCATAAGGCTGCATGCATCTCAACACCCTGGAGAGAGATCCCCTGATGGCTTTGCAGAAGTGGGCTGTCCTGTTGTGAGAAGGCCTTGTGGCAGGGAACGATGGCAGCCTCTAGAAGCTCTGAGTGTCCCCGGCCAGCAGCCAGCAAGAAAACTGAGGGACCTCAGTCCCTCAACTGCAAGGAACTGAATCCTGCCAATAGCCATGTGAGCTTGGAATAGGACCTTGACCTCCAAAAGGGAACACACACAGCCCAGATGACACCTTGACTGCAGCCTTATGAGTCCCTGAGCAGAGGGACAGCCTGGACTCCTGACCCAGGGGAGCTGGGAAGTCACAAGTGTATGTTGTTTTGTGCCACCATGCTGGCAGTATTTGTCATGCAGCAGTAGCAAACTGCTACACCGAGCTTGGCCGTGTGGCCCGAGTCAGTCTCTGCACCTGTTCTGTAGATCGAGGTGTAGCCCTGCTTGTACTCCCAGGCCTGGAGACCGGGGTACCAGCCCACGTGGCCGCTAAGGGGCCAAGTGACACTTGCGAAGGATGACTCACCCTGGCCCGGGAGGACGGCGAGATGTAGTAGTGGCTCTCAGAGTCCCCGAGCCGGATGCGGTGGCGGCAGACACGGGCCAGCCCACTCAGGGCACACGTGCTGGGAGGAAGCAAAGGGGGCCGTGGGCTGGCTGGGTCTCGCCTAGTCGCGGGACGCAGCAGCCAGAGGGTGCACGGAGGGAGGGGCAGGCAGAGGGCTTGGGGGCCAGGCTGAGGGGGAGCAGCCCCAGCAGTCCTGGGATAGCCCTTTTAACCAAGCTGGACCCTACCTGGAGACCCCTGGCCTTGTCCTTATTGGGCGAAAGGGCTTAATCTCAGCAAGGTGTACCAAAGCCCCACCCTCTGCAACCACCAAAAATGCCCCACAACTTTACTGGGGACCTCAGGCCCAGTCACCCCTTCCCCAACTAGGCAGGAGTTGGGGTGTGGCTGCCTCTCCCTTCCCAGCACCTGCTTTGTCCAGCCGCCCCCGCTGGCCCTCTGACCCCACGTGGTCCTGGGCTGCGTGCCAACCAGCCCCTCTCAGAGCCCTGCCCTGTGCCACCTTCTTTCCCCACCCCAAGCCTGGGCGACCTCACTCAGCATCTTCAGCCACCCACGTACCAGGTGGCGGCTGGCCCTGAGCACCCCACCATGTGGTCCCCGACCCCCAAATCCCGCTACTCTCTGGGGCATCATCTGTTCATCTCTCTCCTCCTCACCCCTCCTAAGTCACCAAGTCCCCAGGCCAGGTGATGGCAGCAGGGCCTTTGCCTTCCCTCAGCTCCTTCCAGCCAGCCTCAGCCTCACTTCTCTCTTTCTTCTCCACATGACAGTCAGGGGGTCCTCGAAAAACCCACATTCACATCTAAGCCACCATCTTTCCCCGTTGCCTTCCTATGGCCCAAGAAATACTTATATAGAATCCCAAGTAAAAGAAGGTTAAAAAACCTCCTTGGATGCAGGACTTATCAGAGCATTTGTTGCCTTTCTGTTCATTGTGAATGGACCAGAGAGCCCTCCTTTCAGGGAGCACCTGTTGATGCTTATGGAGCACTAGCCTAGCTGGTTAAAGCCCAAACCTATAAAGGCTCCTTACACTCTTGCCCCCAACACCCCCTGTGGTACCAGCCCCAACTCCTTGCCCACTCACTGCTCTGCCCATTGCCCAGTGGTGTTTCTGTTAATAGCTCTGTTTCTCATACCTTCGCTCATTCTGTTCCCTCTGCCTGAAAGGCCCTGCCCTTCTTGGCAAACTGCTATTCATCCTTCAAGACAAGCTCAAATGCTCCTCTCTGTGACAGAGGTTCCCAGCATGGCGCCAGCCCGGCCCCTCCCGCCAGATCTTGGGCTGCCAGGAGGAAATCCTCCCCAATCTCTGCCCCTTGTTCTGCCCTGACTGTCTTGTTCTGCGGCTGCCCCTGCTCAATGCCCGCTGAGCAGCGGGAGGACAACTGCCAGGCCGCTGGGTCACTCACTGGCAGGAGGCAGAGCCAGCCACTGACAGTCGCTTCCAGACGGGGCGGGGAGGGAGCCCACGTCAGGCCAGCCAGAGAGGGGGGCACCCAGCTCCCGGCCTCCCTGGAGAGCCTGGGGGCCACGGGGATTCTTGCAAAGATGTCTCCTTGCCCTGAGTGGGGCAGTGACAGTCCTCCTCCTATCAGGTGCCCCTGGGCCCCTGCCCACCCTTGGGCCCCACGCCAGGGCCCAGGGAGGCCTCCCTGACTACCCCTTCGGTGCAGCCCAAGGCTTCGAGGGGCTCCCCTGGGTGGTCAGGACAGGGCTAAGGCGCTGAGCTTACTTGGCGCTGCCGCACTCAACCTCGGCCACCTTCACCGTGGGCGGCGTCTGTGAAGCCACAGGCTCGATGGTGAGTGTGTTGTCCTCCACGGCAGCGCGAACCAGCGCGGAGAGCTGCGGCAGAGCGGGGGGCGGCAGGCGGGGTGGTGAGGGGCTGGGCCCCGGCTGAGGGGTGGAGGGGCCGGGCCCCCAGCGGGCCCCCCTCCCTTGCCTCACCTCCTGCATCGTGAAGTCCAGGCAGGGGCCCACGTCCTCCCGGTACACCCTTTCCAGGAAGGGGCAGGTCTTGTCCAGGGTGGGCGACTCCCTCCAGGCCTGGAACTCTGCAAACAGGGTTGTGTCCACCTGCGGGGGAGGGCGAGCGGGGGTGGGGCACTCAGGCGCTGAGGGCAGCTCGTCAGAGGGGGGCTGGGCCAAACGGGAGGAGAGCCAGGGAGATGTGGGTCAGGCCCCCAAGGCCAGCAGGTCACAGTCCCCAGTGGCCATGCAGGGGAGCCGGGTCCCACAGAAGAACTCCTTTCTGCTCTTTGCACCAAATAATTTAAAACTAAAAGTTGGGCCGGGCGCGGTGGCTCATGCTTGTAATCCTAGCACTCTGGGAGGCCGAAGCAGACAGATTGCTTGAGGTCAAGAGTTCGAAACCAGCCTGAGCAAGAGCGAGACCCCATCTCTACTATAAATAGAAAGAAATCAATTGGCCAACTAATATATATAGAAAAAATTAGCTGGACATGGTGGCGCATGCCTGTAGTCCCAGCTACTCGGGAGGCTGAGGCAGGAGGATCGCTTGAGCCCAGGAGTTTGAGGTTGCTGTGAGCTAGGCTGGCGCCACGGCACTCACTCTAGCCTGGCCAACAAAGCGAGACTCTGTCTCAAAAAAAAAAAGTTGTATTTACAGGTGTGTTTTAAGTTTCTTGGAGCTACAAGATTACAGACTCAAGTCCAGGGCTTTGTCCTGAAGACCCTCACTGCCTCAAGGAGGAAAAGTGGAAGAGCGCACCGAGGGGACACACAGGGACCTCAGGCACAGGAAGCACACACAGGCACGTGCACTTGGAGGGGACACGCACAGGCTGCCCACTCCAGGGAGCCAGGCAGGCCGTGCAGAGGAGGGAGGTTAGGGGCGGCAGGGGGCAGCCCCCGCCCCGGAGCCATTACCTGTCGGGAAAAGGAGAGAGAGGGAGCGGAGGTGGGGGCCGAGGGCGGCTGCCCAGGCAGGAGCTGCCAGGCTGGCTCGTAGGTGAGGTGAACCGCCTTGCTGGGGACCACGCAGAGAAGCAGAGAGAGCAGTGGGGCCAGCCCGGGCTGGGCGGGCGGGCCAGACAGACAGACATGTGCACAGAGACAGACAGGAGGAAGGAGGAGAGGTCAGTGAAGGAGAGTGAGACCCTGCGCCTCCCCCCGGAAGCCCCAGGGACAGAGACGGAGACCGGGACGGAGCAGGTGGGTGGGCACCAGCGACCTCTCCAAAGGCCACATTTGTGTCGGCACCACAGTCGGAAGGTGTGGAGGACCCTCGAGTACAGGACTGTCACTGAGGGTCCTCGAGAGGCCCGGCGGCCCCTGCCCAGCCTCTCAAGGCCAAGGGAGCGTGTGTCTGCAGCGGCCCTCCGAGGGCAGACCTCAGGGCCAAAGCCAGCCTCAGTCGCGGAGACTGCCACCTACTGCTGGAGTCGGCAGGGCGGGGCGTCGGCGCCCCCAGACCGTACACCCTGGAGGCCGAGGGCCAAGCGCCCCCATCATAGGAGGTTGAAGAGAAGGATGCTGCCCAGCCCCCACAGCCCAGCGGACGCAGAGGCGCAGAGAGGGGCAGGGCAGCGCCAGATCACACTCGCGGGGCCGGGCTGGTCCTCGCTGGGCTCTGACCCTGCCAATGGCAGGCACCGCCTCGCCTCCCCTCCCCTGTGCCCACCGCCTGCCTGCTGCCCTCACCTCTTTGCCCTCCCTGTCTGGGGTGCCCCGCTGCCCTCACCTCTTTGCCCTCCCTGTCTGGGGTGAGGGTGTGCCCCGCAGCAGGGCACAAGGCAGGGCAGAGGGCACTGCTGGTGCTCTTATGGCGCGAGTGGCCCTTTCGGGGCCCGGCCTTGGTGGGGCTCAGCAGCTGTGGGTGGAGCTCGCGGTTGGGTGAGGCTGGTGTGGATGTGATGACCAGTGTCTTCAAGGCTGTCACCTCCGCCTGCAGCATGTCGATCTGGACAGGATGGGGTGGCCGTCAATCCTGGGCTTGATGCCACCCCAGCTATCACCGCCTATCAGCCCAGCTCAGAACAGCATGCCCTGACAGCAACTAACACCTAACCCTGCACGTCACCCTTGCAACAGCCTTCAGGGCAGGGACCCAGACACCCATTTTACAGATAGGGAAGCTGAGGCTAAAAGACCAGACATGGCCCGCCCGAGGTCCCACTGCAAACAGGCCTCTGTCGAGAGCAAGCGTGTGGCAGTTGGCTGGGCTTCCCACTAGAGTTCTGGGGCTCCCAGGAGCCAGGAATGGCTCCGGCCTCACATTTCACAGGTGGGCAACCAGGCTCAGAGAGAGGGAGCTACTTGCCCAGGCCCACACAGCCGGGCTGAGTGAGGTTTCTGCTCTGTAAGGCGGGGCTGGGAGAAGGGAGAAGAAATTGCAATGACCACAGGATCCTCCTAGCCCCTGGAAGGATCCAGAAAAGTCTCTGTGACAGCACAATGACAGTGGAGTCCCGGGGAGCTGGGCCGTGTGATCTCAGACACCCCGCCCTGCCCTCCCTGGGCCACCAGCCAAGTGAGGTCTGGCTGGGTGTCGAGGGCCAGTGCTCGCTGGGCCGGGAGGCAGGCTAGCCTGGGCAGATGGGGACCGGCCTCACCTTGCCCCGAGCCTCCTTCAGCTGCTTTTCTGATGCTGCCTGCTTCATGTTGGCTTCTCGAACCATCTTGTGGGCTTCCTGGGAAGAGGGCAGCCCCAGTGTGAGTGACCAGGAGCCGATGGATGTCTGGGTGACCCACTCCAGGATGCCCCCCCTGGCCAACAGACCTCAAACAGGCTGGCCGTCAGCTCCTCCAGCTCCTGCTCCAGCTGCTCCCGCACCTTGGACAGACGCTCGCATTCCTCGTCCTTCAGCTTCAGCTCCTAGGGGCCAGGGGGCAGGGGCTGTTAGCCCCGTGGGGGGGCCTAGGCCTGGCACAGTGTGGACCAGGCCCACCTGACCAGGCTCTGTCCCCCCGGTCATCTTACGTGGGGCTCTGGCCCCAAGCTTGCTTCCTCTAGGGACATGAGGCAAGCCCCTGCTCGTGCACTATGGCATGGAGCAGGTTTTCAGGTAAGTCACGAGCTGTGGACACCGGGCACTTCCCGAGTGCCCAGCACAGGCCTGGCGAGAGGTCGGCCTTGGCAAGGGCGCGATCTCACTCCCTTTGGCACATCTCCGGGCACTCAGAGGGTGCAGCCCGCGGCTCTCCTAGGCCGACTCCTCCTGACCGAAGCCCCCCACCTGCCCGCAGGCGCCCACCTTCTGCGCTCTGTGCAGCTCCTCCTTCAGGAACTCGGAGCCCTTCTCGCGGATCTCCATGGAAGAGCTGCGCAGGCGGGACACGTCCAGCTGGGCGGCGGGCCCCTCCTCACCTTGGGGCTCCTCCCCTGCAGAGGTCTCCACCAGAGCTCCTGGGGACTCCCTGCGGCCTTTGCAGGGGCCCACGCTCTTCCAGGGGACCGGGACGGCTGGGAGGGGCGGCGGGAGGCCCTGGTCTGGCTGGGGCGCGCTGGAAACAGACAAGAGGATCAGACGGCACAGGGTGGGGTCCTGAGACCCGGAGAGCTGAGTCCGGGAACCGACGCGGGGCAACGCACCGGCCACTGGGGTCTCAGTGTCTCCATCTGAAGATTGGGACACTGCCAGCTATCATCAGGGTTGTCACAAGGGCAAATGACCAGGCACAAGGTCTCTTGGGGGTAAAGACAAGGCTCATTCCTCTATCAACCACCCGCTTCAGCCAAGGCCTAGGGCCGTGCTGGCACACAGCAGGTGGGGAACACACGGCTCAGCTGTGCACGCGGGTGACTGCAAACGCGCCAGGGCGGAGAACACGAGTCTCTGCTCTTATAAGGTGGAGCCGATTCCCAGGACCTTACCTCAAAGTTGATACCACAATCAGGACGTGTGTCAAACCTTGGCACCCAGGACTTAGGCGGAAGCTGCCTCCATTGACACAGTTAATGCAAATTCCACCCCTTTGGGGCTGGACCAGAGAGGAAGGACGGGGCCAGGGCAGACAGGGCCGGGGCAGGAAGACGCTGCCAACAGCCTGGGCAAGGCAGACCCACTTCCTGCCCCTCTGAACTTGGCGGGGAGCAGTCCTAGCTTTCCCTGGCCTGCCTTGTGACCTCAGGACCCACCCCTCCCTGAAGGGGAAGACCCTGGAGGCAGAGCAGGGCCTGTGCTCCCTTCCCGCCCCCATCCACGCTCCCCCCTTGGAAGTAGACCCTGGAGAGGGAAGGGAGGGACAGGGCTCGGCCAGCGGTGGTTTGTGCCAAGACAGCACCTCTGGACTTGCTCACTCAGCAAAAGCTGGAGGCTCCTGAGCCAGCAGCTTCTCAGCCGCAGCGGCTGGGCCGGGGGAGGCCGGGCCCTGATATCAGTGGGGGAAGTGGGGGGAGGGGGCTGAGAGGCCCGCACAGGACAGGGCAAGACCAGGCCAAGGAGATCATGGGACTCAGGATAGCAGGGGAGGAGGTGTGTGTGTGAGTTTGGGGACCGGTCCCACTCCTTGTCCTCAGGACCTTGGAAAGGTCACCAAGCAGCCCCCAAGCTTGTTTCTCCCTTGGTAATACAAAGGGACAGCACCCAGAGACCCCACTCCCAACCCTTCACATGGCCCTGTCTAGTGGCCCAGCCCGGCCTGGCCTCTGCTCTGGGGCTGGCCCAGAGTGTGGCCTTAGGCTCCCCGATGGTCCTGCCTGGCAGAGACTGGGGCCTTGCTGATCCAGGGGGGACACACATCCCTCACTCCACCAACAGCGTCTATGCCACACAGGGATAACAGCCTTGCTGGGGAGCGGGGGCTCTTGTTGGCAGGAGCTCCTGAGGCTTGAGGGGCCACAGCAGCCCCTCCCCTGCCCCAGCAGTGCTGTGGCTGCCCATGGGCTGGGGTCTGCAGCCAGGCACTCACACTGTGCCAGACTCTACACAGGGGCTCTGGCCACATTATCTGGTTTAAAACTCTCTCCATAGCACTCGTGGTATTATCCCCATTCTACAGATGAGGGGACAGAGGCTCAGAGAAGGGACTTGCAAGGGTGCTGGGACAGGTGGTCAGGTTTTCAGCCCAGGCCCAAAGCTTCCCAGCTACAGGGGAAGGATGGTGGCATGGGAGTGACTGTCAGAATTGGTGCATCTGCCTCACTATCAAGGGCTGCTGGGCCCAGGGGACTCGGAGGCTCCTCTTTGGCTGTAGCAGGGAAACCTGACCCAATTCCAGCCCAAACTGGCTTCTCAGACTCTGCTCGGGCCCAGAAACCACCTTTCCAGGGGGGTGGGGGTGGGCTAGGGGAGCTGTGGCCAAGAACACCGGCCAGCGTCAGGCAAGCCAGGGTCCACGCCAGGCTCTGGCCTGGGGTACGCAAGCCCCTGGGAATGTCACTGCTGCCCCAACTGTAGGATGGGGCTAAAATCCCATAGGAGGTACCCTAAGAATCAAACAGAAGTCACCTGGCATGGTGCTGGGTAAAGTGTTCAACCCACAACCACATTCAGCTAAGACACCCACGTGCCTGCCCAGGCTCTGGGTGTCACAGCTGAAACCGTAGGCCCCAGGGGAGGGGTGCCCTGGAGGCCTGGAGTCCAGCCCCATTTCCTCAGCTGGGAGAGGACATCCGTAGTCTCAGGCTGGGCTGAGCGCAGCAGACCCCACCGTGGAAGCTGCCCACTTTGACAGAATGAGCGAGAACTGCAGGCTAAGGGGCAGGGGGTGACCCGCAGGACAGCACAGAACATGGGGCAGGATTCCAGCCCTGGTGCCTTTCCCATGGCTAGGACCACCCCGCCACTGCCTAGACCCCTGGCCTAGGACAACCAAGCTGCTAGCGCCTCCCATGGGGGCTGAGCTTCGTCCTCCAGTGTGGTGTGTGTGGGCCTCTGGCCACAGTGAAAGACTCCAACTCTCTCCTGCTGGTCCCAAGGGCATGAGCTGGAGGTGTGGCTGGACAGTCCCCACCATTTTCCCAACAGGCTCTCACTTCAGCTCTCTGCTGGGGGCTGGGGGCCAATTCTGCAGCCGGAGGAAATAAATGGTGGTCCAGGGGGCCTGAGACACCGTCGCCGTTACATCTCCCCCTGCCCCCAGTGCAAAAGCCCCAAGTCAAGTCCTAATGGCAGGAAATGTGGGAACAGCAGGACCACCCAGCAGCCACCAACACCCCAACGCCCGAGCTAAGAGTGGCAGGAGCAGCAGGGGAAGATGCCCTCTCCCCACCCCCTGCTTGGAGGGTAGCTCAAATCTGCAGACCCTTGGCCCCGTACACTTCCAAGCTATATGAGGCCAGCTCCTGTGACTCAGAAATTTCAGAGCAAGGAGGGCCCCCAGGCCTCTTGGGACCAGTCCAAGCCAGAATTCTCTATCTTGCACACACTCATCCTCCCAGACCAGATACCCCAAAACCTGAGCATGAACACCTGAGGTGGCGGGGAACTCAGTGCTCAGGCAGCCGGACTAGCAGTCAAGTTCTTCTGCCTGACATCGCCCCCTGTCCTCTGCCTAGGTCCACTGCCCTGTCCTCTGCCGCCCCATGCCATGCAGAAACGGAGTCCAGCTGCTGGGATGAGCTGCACACGCCCCTCGGAAGGGGCCTGCTCGGGGTGGGTGTCAGTAAGGTCAAGGTCAGAAGTACACGGGGCAGCCAATATCCCTATCTGGAAGCCAAGCCAGCTCCCACCACCTAGAGCCCAGGCAGTGCCCGCAGGAAACCGCCACTGGGTCACTTCCACAGGAAACCCGCAACAGGGAAAATGCAGCAATCACTGTCCTTGCCCACCAGGCTGCCCTCCGAGGGCTGGCAGGGCTTTTGTCCCTACCCACAAAGCCCTCAGTCACTCAGTAAGGCCCCTGGGCCAGGAGGAACTGGCCAGAGGCCGCTCCCAGGGCCAGAAGGGCCCGAGTGGCTCTCTGAGAGTTCCGACCCTTCCCAGCCCAGCCTGCCCACGATCAGTGCCCAGCACGACCCTGTTCAATCATCGCCCAGAGTTAAAGAGCCCCTGTGTTAGTGGGCACAATGGGGTCATTAAATAAGTGGGGGCAGGCAGGAAGGAGTGGCTGAGAGGGGGCACTGCCCAGGGCCCCCGGCCCGAGCTCCAGGGGGCTGCAGAAACCTCAACCCAGCTCCCAGGGGCAGTGCCACAGCACAGGGGCCGGGTTTGGACTCACATCCAGCCTGGTCCTGAGAGCCCTGAGGCTGACAGCCACATGGGACCAAGAGGGTCCCCAGAGAGGTTTGTGTGTCGACTCTCGGACCAGCCCGCAAGCCCAGCAAGACTCAGCCTACAGAGAGGAGCCAAGGCTTCAGCCCCAAACCCACAAGTACGTCAGGTTCCCAAGGTCTTGGCCACGTCCCTGTCAGCCCGCCGCTTGGAGTGTCCACAGGTGTCATCGCCTGCAGGCTCCTGAGCACACTGCAGGGAGATGTCCCCCAGCCCGGGATGAGACACCCAGAGAGGGATGGTGACTGGCTTGAACACACAGCAAAGACATGGCAGGATGGGAACTGGATGCGGAGAGCAGACACAGCACGCCACGTGACCTGTGGCCCAGAGGAAAGGGGATGAATGGTGGTTTCAGAGAAGTGAGCAGGATGCAGACGGGGTTTGGGGAAGTTTGAGACAGCACCCAGTGGTGCTGGTGCTGGAGGTGGCGCCCAGCACTGCCACCCAAGCCAGGCAGGGCCTGGGCTCACAGGGGACCCACGGAGGTGCCAAAGACCTGAGGGGAATCCTGGGAGGACCAGCGGCTGATGGGGGCAGAAAAAAGTAATTATAGTAAGAACTAATTAAGCTAACTACAATCCCAGGAAAAGATGACTGAGAACAGTGGTACCCACGACAGAATGAGGAACTGGGAGTGGGTCTTGCAGGGACGGGAAACGGAGCGGCTGAGGCATTTGGGAAGTGGCATGTCCTGCAGCAGGATGAGGTGACAGCTGTTGGGAGTCACCAGCTCAGGGAAGCAGCCACAGCCTGGGCCTGGCTGAGGGCTGACAGAGGCAGCCGGAAGAGAGTCACACACCTCAACGGAAGAGTGCCCAGGACAGGGGCACTGGGACACAGCTGTCTTGGGTCTTGCTGAGGTTAGGGCTGGAGTTGGGCCAGATCCCCTAAGCTCAAGGCCAAGAGGGGCCAAAGGGACAGGCGGGAGGCAGGGTGGGCCCACACCCCTCCCGGAAGGGAGGCAGGTGCAGGGGCGGGGCGGCAAGTCCTGGTAGGAGATCTGCAGGAGGGGAGAGGTCAGGCACAGCCTGCGGATGGGAAGCAGGTGGGCCGGGCCAGCCCTCTTTGCCACTGCTCCAGGCGGCCGGCCGGCCCAGCCCAGCCCAGCCCAGCCCTGAGAAGGGAATGCGGCCCTGTCTCTCCCCTGGGAGCCAGCACAAGGCCTGGGGGCAGGCGGGGGGGGGGGTGTGTCTCACTCCATAGCAGGTGCAGGGCAGGGCACACGGTCCTTGCCTAACATCTGCCTGAGCTGTCCCTGCACATTTAGTCCAAGAAGAATTGTCTAAGGCCTCAGACATCCAATGTGTGTAGTGAGCTCCCATCACGTGCCGGGCACCCCACCCACCCTGATCCATCCAGTCTGCAAGACAAGGCGGCTTCTAGCAGCAATATCGCTAGGTCTACTTCTCCCTACATTCAACTTCAGTTTGCACCTCCCTCCCCCGCCCACCTCTTCACTTCCCACGGAATATTGGGCACAAATCCCGTGCAGAGGCTGGGAGAGTCCAGGACATGCAGGACTCTAATGAGAGTCTGTGCCCACACATAAATGTGCTGACTGAGCAACAGTAGAAGATACCCCCACCTGTGGAGAGGTTAGTGTAGACAGATCTTGGAGCGCTTCCAGGAGGCAGTGACAGTGAGGACTGTACAACCCTTCTGCAATGCAGAAGACTCCCTGCCTGGCCCTGGAGGCCCCAGGCCATATTTCAGAGTCTGCAGGCAGGAGCTCCCAGGTCCACATCCCTTAGAGTAGCCAAGGCCCAGAGCAGTTAAATGACTTGCTCCAGATCACACAGCCAGCCAGTAAGTCAATGGCACCTGCAGCCCTGGAGCCCCCCGCATCCTGCTTGCTGCAGAGACACAGTCCCCAACCCCTGGGAGGCTAGGGTGGTCTCATCTCAGTCCTGGGCAGGCCATCTGAGACTGGCCTTCCCTAGAGATAGGTATGATCAGCCCCATCTCTCAGATGGGAAAACTGAGACGCAGGGCTGCTGCACCTGCATCATGTGGGAAACTCTGGCCTCTGCTGACCAAGTCCCAAGTGCCCAGCACTGGGTTAGATGCAGAAGTACCCACAATGCTGTCCTCACCCCATCACCTTGAAGCATGCTTGGCACCCAAGACTATGGACGTGTGACACTGTGGGGGATGGGGAGGGGAGCAGCCCAGTTTGGAGTCGGGGGCACCTTAAAGTCAGACTGGAGCTGCCTCTGTGTTCAGAGTTCAGGGCCCATGCTTGGGAGTCCCAGGGAGGAGGGTCCAGCTGAGCTGCTACTGCCACCCATCCCCAGGAGAGCAGCTTGGGGCCGGGGCCAGGATCGACATTAACAGAGCACAGCCACCCAAGAGAGAGCTCTCAGTTCATTTTACAGGTGAGGAAACCAAGCCCCAGAAACATCAATAGCCTGGCCAAGGTCACCAACTCCTAATCTCAGACTCCTAGTCTACGATCAACAGACCAAGTCTACACCTGCCCAGAGCTGTCATGAGCTCCTGGGGGTCACAAGCACAAGCAGCTGAGTCAGAGTTACCTGGGCAAGTATGACTCTGAGCAAGGTCCCTCCCACCTGCTGCTGGGATCTGAGTGAGCTCCTGGGACACCAGGCCCCCAAGGGGTGCTGGCAGCCTGGCCCCTGGTCCCTTAATCCCTGCCTCCACATCCAAATGAGGGGTCCATAAAATGTAGTGCTCAAGGAAATCCCAAAACTCTGCCTCTCACCCCTTAAATGTCCAGCTCTTCACTGCCCCTCATCCTTTCCATCTGCATGTATGAAGTATTGACTGTGTGCTTGGCACCCAGCTAGGCCTTGGGGGATCCAGAGGTACTATGGGAAGTGAGCCATATTGAGGTTATGTAGGGTCAGCTTGGCAGCCAGGTCCATCCAGAGGGTCCTGGGGCTGTGGCAGGGAGGCTGGACTGGGGCCCTTACCCAGGACCTCGAGTCTCTGACTCCTTGAAGTGAGCATCCATCTAGCGGTGGCTCCCAGCTCTGCCCGGCCCTGGCCTGGATGCCTCCAGGGAAGGGCATTCACTAGGCAGGGATCACTCCCACCCCACAGACCACTTCATCTAGAGGCCCAGAGAGGGAGGCCATACACTCAAGGTCACACAGCAACTCCGTGGCTGTGTTTTGCCTGGGTCCTCCCAACACAAGGGGTCACAAGCCTCCTGCAGCCCAGGCTGCCCCTCAAATGCATTTAATTCCCCCCACCTCTCACTCCACACCTCCCCACCCCACATCACAGGCAAGATTGCCCCAACCTCTCCAGGCAGCACAAACCCACTTCAACCACTTTCTCCCGGAGCCCAGCCTCCTTCCCCCCAGGGCAAATCCACCTTAACTCTCCCTTTAAGAGGCTCAAGCCACTCCAGCATCACCCCTACCAGAAGCCCACCCTCTCAGCACCCCTGCTGGGAATGAAGCCTCATTCCACCCTAGTATCTGGGCCCCAGCTCTGCCAGGTGCAACGGAGTGAGGTGCTCCCAGTATGACCCCCCCCCGGGGGGGGGGCTTCGCTCACTACTTCCCTGCCCCTGTGAGGGAAGGGAAGTAGTTGGGTCCTGGGACCACCCATCTGGCCCAGTTCTTTACAGGAATACAACCCACCACCCGCTCTGGCCACATTTCCTCCAGGACCTTGTCTTTCCAGGCCGTGGGGAAGAGGAAGTGCTCGCCCAACTCTGGGAAGAGCCCACAACCTTCCTGCACGCACAGGGCAGCGGCCCCACATCAGCCTGGCCGGGAACTGGAAGCACCTCTGAGAACCAACGGCCTGCACAGACGCGGGTACTGGGGCCCCGGACCCAGGACCGGAGTCTGTGCTGCCGCGCTCCAGGATGCAGAGAGGTCCCACCCACACCCGGAGCCCCCACAGGGAGGTTCTGCCAAAAACTCGGGAGCGACCTTGGCAGAGACCCAGCCCCTTTCCCAACTGCACGGCTTTCCAGGAGTTCCTCCAGCTGGGGCGGGGGCGGGGGCCCCTCCTCCAGAGGCGCCCCCAGGTTCGCTCTGGCGCGCGGACTCCCCGCCCCACACCTCTTCTCACTCGCGCGCCGGCTGAGCCGGGGTTGGCGCTGTCACGGCGGGACGGTCAGCGCCCGCCTTCGCGCTCCCCACCGCGGGACGGACCCGCCGCCCCCGCCCGGGTGTCCCGCCATGTCCCCGGCGCGCCCGCGCCCTCGGCCGCACGCCGCGTGGGGCGCAGACGCCGCGGGACCCCCACCCTCCCGCCCCGGGAGGCGGCGCGGCCCAGACCCGGCGCGGGACGGCGAGCGCGCGGACCTACCCGCTCCACATCCCGGCGCCTCGGGCGCCCGGGCGTCCGCTCCCCGCGCCGCCGCCGCGTCCTCCCTGCGCGCCCCGCGCCGCGTCCCCGCCCGCCGCGACTCCGCCCCGGCCGGCTGCCCGCCGCCTGTCAGCCTGCCCGCCGCCCGGTGGGTCTGTGCGGGTCGAGCTCGCCGCCCCCGGCCCAGCGCCGACCCTGCCCTTGCGGGTCACGTGGCGAGGGGCGGCCCGAGGACACGCGCCCGGCCCCGCCCCTCCGCCGGCCGCGCGGGGACAGTGAGCCGGCCGCTGGGGGAGGAACCCGCTCGCCAGCATCCCGCAGCCAGCGCGGCTCTCAGACTGTCCCGCGGGTGCCCTCCCTCCAGTCACCCGCCGGCCCGCCCGCCCGGCCACCCCTGCTCTAGAACCTACAATGGCTCCCAGGCTTTCAGCTCTCTGATTCTCACACAGACTGCACGCAGGCCAGCTGACCTCTCCCACCCCCTCACCTGGCCCGGAGCCAGGTGCTCCTTCCCTGGGCTCTGTGCTCCCTGGCTGCCCCTGCAACATCCTGCCTGCTGGGAAGCCGGGTGGGGGCAGGCCCCGAAACAAGTTTTCCGAGTCCTGCTCTCGGAGTGTTTGTCCCCAGGGAGCAGCCACCTCGGCCCCACTCTCAGCACCCAGCCTCCTGCCTCTGAACACAGGGCCCATCCTTGCCTTTGCCCGGCGTCTGCCCGCTAGAGAACGCCACCCTCACCCCCAGCACACCCTCACACACCTTTCCGGTCCCATGTCCTCTGTAAAACCTTTCCCTGAATCCCAGACCTCTGGTCTACCTGTCCCCCAGTCCCTCTGTCCCACCTAGCATGAGCTCTGACCACTGGCCTCAATTTCAGCTGAGCCTGGATCGGGTGAGAGCAGAACCCACCTCCCCAGGGCCTGCAGCACCACCCTGGGGCCGGCGGGGCCACCCTGCCTGCCGGAGGAGTGGGCTATGGGGGAAGCTATTTCCCCTTCCAGATGCCACCAGAACTCTGAGCACTGCTCTTCCAGGCTCACCTACTCCGGGGCCCCGGGCTTGAGTTTGTTAGATCTTCATGTGGGGACACAGTTCATTCACTCGTTCTTTCATTCAGCCACCCCATCTGAGCATGATATGGGCCATGCCAGGGCTGGTGACCCAGAGGGAAACTGCACAGACAGGCTCTGCCCTCCTGGGGCTCCAGCATGGCGGATGGGGGGGGCACACAGCCTCTACTTCCAGAGCCACTGCTTGCCTATGGCACACCTTACCAAGTGAATGATGCCTTTGTTCAAAATAGAACACAGTGCTCCTTTCTCACGTGGGCACAGCTCACACCAAAGTATAAGACTTGGTGAGTGGAGGCCAGGCTGGATTTCGTGCCTTGCTAGCTCCCTTGTGCAGTGAACAACCTGAACAGCCCTCCATGGCATCCCTTCCAACTTTCCAGAATCATTCAGTCCAGGCCTCCCCTGCCCTTCATCCTTCAGGGCAGTTGTTTCCATGACTAGGGCTTCCAGAGGGCAGGAACTAGCTCCTTCTTGGAGCTGTGTTCCCCTACCCAACTCAGCCCAGCTCAGGATCTGGCCCACCAAAAGCAGATGTCAACATATGTTTGTTGACTTGAATCCTTCACCAAGTAAATCTTGAGTAATTGCTGTCTTCCTGCCTCTTGTTCTATTCACCATTTAGGGGAAGGAGGAGAATATGGCAAAAAGAAAGCCCAGGAAAGGGCCTTTGCCCTCCAAGGCTTCACAAGCCGAGACAGGAGACAAGTTGAGGCCACCCGGACCAGGGGGAGATAAAGTGTGGAGGAGGCATCAGCTCAGGGCTGCGGCCCCAGAGGAAGAGTCTTCAGCCTGGGAGGGCTGCCACCCCGAGCACAGCCAAGCCTGCGCCCCAGCTGATAAGGGTGGGCTCAGAGAAGTTAAGGAACCTGCCTAATACCCCACAGCCAGGGGTGAGTCCCCACACACCAGTTTTGCAAAAAGACTTCCCAGCAACCAGAGGCCTCGCTGGCAGCCGCAGCTGGGTGCAGTCAGGTGGCTGGGCACCTACTAGGTGCCTGGCCCAGCAGGTGGGGAGGAAGAAATAAAAGACGGTCTTCTGCCCACTAGCCACTGCTGTCCCCACCCTCCCTCCCTCTGTCCCCTCCTGTCATCCCATCCCCACCTCCCAGCCTGGACCACAGACCCTTGGCTGAAGGCAGATGTGGAGCAGGAGACCGTGTCAGCATGGATGACCCAGGCCCTGATTCTGGACTTTAGTCTGTCCGCAGCTCCCTGTGTGACTCAGGACAAGTGTTTTGCCGTCTCTGAGCTTTGGTCTCCACCTCTGTACAACCACCAAGTTGGACAAAACAATCGGAGCCACCCCCAGGTACTGACCCTGTAGGAGGTTCTGGAAGTTCCTCATAGCTCCTTGCCAGTCCCCTGTACGGAGATAGGCTTCTCACACCCCCTCCTCACGCGGAGTCCTGCAGAGTGGCAGGGTTCCCCTCCCCTCCGCCCCCAGAGCCCTAGCTCACCTGTCTGTGCCCCAGGGCTCCTCTCCCAAGTTCCTCTCTAGTGCAGGGCACAGGCCTGATGGCGCATAGCAGACAGTCCCTGAGCTCATGGCCAGGAACACGGGGCACGTCCCGCGGGCAGGGCACCTGGCGGGCTCCTCAGGGGAGTCCATGCTTGGGGGACCAGTCCGATGCGGGGGCCTCTGGAGACTACCAGGAGGGCAGGTGGCAGAAGCCTTCTCCCCACCCCCAGGCTGAGCCTCACGCTAACCTTTGCTATCTCCCAGGAGCAGGCGCTGGAGGGAGGCACCTCCCAGACAGGCCTCATCCCCTTAAACCCCGTAATTATTAACTCCAGTGGCTCATCGGACAGCAGAAGACAGTGGGGCCCTCCTCTCTGGGCCCTGGGCCAGGGCGGGTGAGACATCCTGAGGAGGGGTGGGGGGCCTGAGGCCCCAGGCTTCACCCGGGCCCACGCTGGGCCTGCCTGTCCCTCCCCACCAGGCTGGTGCGGGAGAGAGCCTGTCCAGCCCTGCCCTCTCATAGCTGGCTGTGAGGCCCCAGGCCTCAGTATCCCCTTAGAACTTCTAGCCACCCCTGCCGAGGGACAACTGAGTGTGGCAGTTAGGATTACAGGCCTAGAGTCAGCCAGGCTGGATTCAATCCCACTTCAGACTGTGAACCTTTGCGCATGTCAGCCTCTCTCTGCCTCAGTTTCTCCAGCTGTAAAATGGATGCTAACAGCTGCCATTGCCTGGACATGCGCTGAACCACACCATCCCCTCTTCCTGGGACCTCCACCCCATCCCACTCCTCACTCCTACTGACGAATTTCTCTTTTGCTCCTACCCTCTCCTCCAGGAAGCCCCCTGTGGATTGCTTTCTGCTGGTCCCTCAGACACAGGAGTCATGACAGATGCCCCACGGAACTGTCAGACACTCCCACAAGAACTGGGTGACTCTGTGGGCAGAGGCTGGCTTGCCCCCTTGCCTGGCACATGGTCAGCCTCAATCCACCTGTGACATGGTTTCAATGTGCCACCCTGTCTCATGCGGCCTGAATTCTAATCCTAGTTCTGCCGTTCCCTGGCTGTGTGACCCTGGGCAAGTCACTTAACCGCTCTGGGACTCAATTCCCTCATCTGTAAAATGGGATCATTCTCCCCTGTGAAGTAGTGAATGGCAAAGAAGATAACCTTTGAGAAGCGTCGGCCACAGTGTAGACTGAAAGCAGAGTTTCCTATTCCCTTCTCCCTCGACTTCCCTCTTCTTTCCCCTCAGCCTCTGAGTCCTTGCTGGGAAGAAGCCGCCAGTTCCTCACACCCCGCCGGCTGAGCGGCCGGATAACAATATCTCCCACTCGGCTTTGGGCTTCAAAGCTCTCAGCCTAATGTGAACCAGATGCCGGCCTCCCTCTCCTGGCAGCGAATTTTCCGTGGCCTGCTCCCACCCCCTTCCTGTTTTTGCTCCTCTCCGATCCCCCTGCTGAATTCTCCCGTGCCCCCACCTTCCTCTGCCCTCTGCCCGGCAACCTCGAGGCCCACCTGGAAACAATTAATGGAAAACAGGATGTGTGAAGGGGGGGTCTCGCCATCACCCCAACATGGCAGGAGGGGAAGGCGCTCAGCCTGGGGGGCGGCGAAGTGTGTGGGAGTTGGGCCCTCCCTGCCAAGCCCTGGCCAGCCACCCCAGCGGGGGGAAACCGAGTCAGAGTTGCTGGGGACTGTATGTAGAGAGAGATGTGTTACTTTCCGGACATTTAAACACAGCCTGGGCTGGATGGGAGCCATGAGGACCTTGTCCTTGGCTGTGGCTTCTTAGAAAAACCAGAGCTGGAAAAAACTCCCAATCCTCTCCTCTTGCGTATGAGGAAACTGAGGCTCGGAAACTCACCCAAGAGGCAGCCCGGTCTGGGCCTGCTTGTCAGGAAAAGCTGCAGCCCGAAGCCACCTCCCCTTGAGACGCTTGCTGTCTCAGCGTCATTCCTGCCTGCCCTTCCCCTGCCGCCCAGCCCAGGCAGGATCAGTCACGAGGGAAGGGTCACAAGACCACCACCCTCCGGCCCGCCTGCGGGCTGCTGCCCAGCCACCCCTGCCGCAGGCTGGCCCGCCGCACAGCACACCTGGCAGCCGGGTCTTCCGCAGCAGGGGCCGTGGGCAGGCCCCAGGAAGGGGTGTGTGTGAGTGGGTCTTCCTTTGTGCCCTCAATCCTGTGAACCCCCTCGGGCCAGCCAGAGCTGGCCCTCAGAGTGAGGACTCCCCAAAGCGGCTCTGGCCGCCCTTC